CTGGGCACTTATAGCATCGGCCAAAGTAATAGCAAAGCTTGCCAAATGCAAAATTAGAGAATCAAACTATGTGTTGTAGAAATTTTAAAGATAGGAAAAGGGTATATCCCTGACTAGTATACTGGAAGAAGACGGGGGCCTTAAACCTTTTATGTGTTAACATATGCAGTTTTTTTGGCGTTATTGGCCCGCTACGAATTATGAATTAATAGTTGTTTCAGGTATTCCAAGTGTAATATCTTTAGAAAAAACAAACAGACTAACCTGATTTTCCTCATTAATAGAAATCATGTCATCTTTCAGCAACAAAACGTCCATTTCGTAGTTAGGCAATCGAACATCCAAAACAAGTGCTTTCACACAACTCCCTTTCTGGAAATTCAATGCAATCAAATCAGTCTAAGGCAAGTGAATGGGAAAAAGCCCAAAGCTAAATCGCTTTAGCCGTGCGACCCTATAAATCTAAATATGTAAAAAACATAACTATACGGTATATAAAAGACCCAAAATAACAACCTTTAGATCGGCGCTATTTGTTACTTGAGCATATCCCTTCAAATCCGATCCATCCGTGCTTTTCACGATTGCAGTATCGCCAGAGATTTCTTTGATTTTTACATTAATACATCGTCCAATTTCAGGAACAATTAGCCCACTGGAATTATTTTCCACCAGCCAATTTAGCTCTTTCAAAGCAGATCGGACCATGATATGTGCGTAATAATCACGATCCTCACCTTCTGGCACGCATAACTCTGTCTGAAATGAATGAACAAAACTGTATGCAGTTCAAAAGTCAAAAATTCTCTATAATGGCTATGAGGGTCGGAAGCATAAAGGAAGCAGCCCGAGTGGTAGCAAATGCCAATAGCAACCAAAGTCCATGGGTCCATCTTCCGAGGGTTGCTTAGAAGAAAGCTGATGGCGGATTTGACTCCCAGCATATACTAGTACCAATTTACCGCCGAAACCAGTAAACGATCCGCAGAGAAATTAGTTGTTCCTCGGACAGAGTCGACTCTTTACCCACTGCACAACGACAGTGATGCTTGCTAGGCTCAAAGTCTCATAATTTTGATAAATCGTAATAAGACG